CACACACACACACACACACACACACACACACACACACACACACACACCCTTTAGATCCCAGTGCAGCATCTCAACAAATTGTTGTTTTAGTAACTCATGATATCCACAGCACAGGTTGCAGCCTCCAGAATCTTAGCCAAGGAAAGTATGTGGTGGGGGAAGGGGGAGTTTATTCTTGCCAGCTGAGAGTCACGGATTCCAACACAGCTAACACTGGCTGCAAAGGATGTCAACATGGAGACCACATTTCCTTTATATAGAGACGTTTCAAGTTAGATGACAAAATAGTCGTGATTAGATCTCATTATAGATGGCCTTTTGAAAGCCACAAGAAACACAGTTACATTAACTTACCTTACATTAATGGACATGTCCTAGGCCCCTTGTTCAAACCTTATGACCTGTGCTTTTACCTTATTAGATGGAAATCTTGTTCAAGACACAACAGGGGCCACCTACCAGTAGCCATATAAATGATTTTAGTGGTTCTCAAGTTACATATTTCCTAGCCTCCCTTGAGATGTAACTTGAGAGCCACTAAAATTATATATATGGCTACTGGTAACACACATAAATGTAACTCTCTGAGATCCCCACATTCATACTTAACTGTGTCTTTTCCTTTCTCAGGATGCCTCTCTCTCTCTCTCTCTCTCTCTCTCTCTCTCTATTAGTTGTGTGCTTAAGTCTACACTAAAAGATCAGCAGGTAAAGGCACTCACCACCAAACCTGACAGCTCAGAGTTCAGTCCCTGGGTCCCCTATGAAGGAGAGAACTGATTCCTGAAAGTGCCCTCTAATACCTATATGTGTTCACCCCCCTCTGACACACAAAAATCAATCAACAAATAAAAATAAACAAACATAATTAAAATTTTAATCCATGTTAAAATCTCTTCCTACAAGAAACTCCATTCTGCTTTGTGCTGGCTCATCCTGAAGTTCTCTTCTGTAGTGAAGCCAAGAATCCCATCTTCACTTGAGGATCTGAAAAAAAAAGAAAACTCCTCAGACTGCTGTAGGGCCAGTGTAGAGCCCCAATTCAGGCCCCACAGCCGCTGACAAACCCTAGTTAGATAGCTGGTTGACCTTGGCCAACAGGATTCACATAGCCACAGACACCTTCCCAGCTCTTACAGCACCTACCTCAAACTTGGCTCCAAACTTGAGACATCTGAAGCCAAGAGGAACTTCCCCCAGATTTCCAAGAATAAAAGTTGAAACATAGAGCATGTTCATGATACACTGATAATTTTTCTGCAATCAGACATTCACAGGAGGAAACAGTTGCTTCATTGTGAGTTTTATGCACACATTCCCAGAAACTCATCTTTAACCCGCTCAACTGGTTTCCACATCCTTAACTCACCTGATAATTAATTTTCAGTCTTGCTCACTTTCCAGAGAAACTCAGAAAAAGACTTGGAGGAGTGTGGCTCCTCCTTGTCCTTGTTGTTCTCCGAACAATGAGCCTTTTCTATGCCCCACTGTTACCACAGAATTGGCACACACAGTGGTGCGTGGGCCACTTCACGGGGAGTCTCAGCTTCAACCTCCCAAGATCTCTAAGCTGACCCATTTCCTCTTCCCTAGGTTACTAGGAGGAACCATAGTTCTGGCTGACAGTAAGGGAGGGAGGATTTCAGACAGAGTGTTGGGAGAGGCAGTGGTAAAGAGAAGCAGAGACCCAGAGCTGGCACGGGACAGTGGTGAGTGGGCTCGAGGGAAGTCCTAAGGATACTGACAGTTTATAGGATAGTGTTCTATTTCTTTAAAGCCAGCTGTCTTCTGAATCTCCCATCTCTTGAGTCTCAAGAATGCCATCCCTTTGTAAAGTCCCAGTTTGCCTGGAGAAGTCCCAAAGACATCTGGCATCTCTCTGATGAACATCATGCTCCAAGCCCCAATGAGGTACAAGATTTCCACTTGGATCTGAGACAAGGAGTTTCTAGTCCCACATAGTCACTTAAGAGCCCCCAGGGTGTGATGGCCTGTAATCTTAACATCTAGAAGGCAGAGGCAGATGGTTCCTTGTGAGCTCAAGACCAGACAGATCTATATATTGAACTTCAGGGCAGCCAGGGTAACACAGTGAGACCCTGTCTCAAAACAGAGTCCCTAGTCAAGCTGAGCTCACAGTAGCGGCCCAAGAAACTCACCCTTTGTTAGTTCTTCCTCGTCTCCTCTCTGTTTTCTGAGATCACTTTCCAATAAATTACGGGCATCCCAATCTTTGTTTCAGGGTCTGCCTTTGGTGAAGACAAACTGAGACAAGGTTTAACCAGGGTCCACAGAGTGATTGCAATGGTAAGAGAAAGAGGGGTGAGGGCAGGCCATTTTTTAAGTGAGTCTGGATCTTGTGTAGCCCAGGGTGACCTTGAATCCCTAAATACCCCTGGACTCCTGCTTCTAAATGCTGGATCACAGGTGTGCACCACTGCCCTCAGCCTCATAACAGACGAATAGGCTGCTGCTGAAACGTCAGACTCCACCGTTATTCACCCCATCCCACAGCCTGTCATCCAGAGGAAAAAGATGGCCCTGCTTTGGCCAGTTGTACAGTAAGGCCACAGGATGATGAAAGGACCAGAGGAGCAGTAACCAGGGGTCACACAGGTTGCAAGGAGCAGAACTCAGAGAAGGTTTCAAGTTTAATCCCTTCCCTAAATTCTGTCTACTTTGCTCAGTCCAACCTCAGTCTATTGGCTCCTGTTACCCTCTCTGCTGACCCTTCCACCTTTTTCTCTAGGTCATCTCCTTGTCGCTTCATTTCCACACCCCCTTCAAACATGCAAATTCCACCATAGTACCCTATGCATGGGGTTGGTAAATAACATGATTTCAGAACCATACTGTCAAAATGTCAAAAGTCCTATCTGGCGCATCTTAATTGTATGTGCTCCCCAGAAGAACAGCTGACCATGAATTTCAACAGAAAACCAGGTAAGAGCAAGGAGCTTGCATGGCCCTTCCTCACTACAGTCCTTCCTCTTGGCCCAGTTTAGCCAGAACGGTTACAAAGCTAGCAGCTGCCCCATCCTCTGACAATTCAAAACCAGAAAAAGACAAAGAGCTACAGAAGCCTATGGGTATAACTCAGCAGCATAACATATGTGCTCAGCATCAGAAGGTCTTGAGTGCCATTCCCAGCATGCACACACACACATACTCACACACTCACACTCATACAAACTCACTCACACACAATGAAAAGGCATCAAAATGTAAATGGTTGTATAGAGAAATAAAAATAAAAGAATCAACGAGTTATTATGTTCAGAAATATGCAGACAAGTTACAGATAGACAGTTATACTGACCAGCATGGTGGCTCGTGCCATTAATTACAGTACTCAGGAGGCTGAGGCAGGAGGATCACTTATAGTAAGTATCAGGCTACCTTGTCTCGAAATAAACAATTAAAATAAAATAATAAAAGTGACTTGGTTTCATATACCTTAATCCCAAAATTGGGAGATGGAGACAGGAGGATTATTTCAAGGTTATCTTCATCTGTATAATGTGCTAGATGCCAGCCTGGGCTATAAGATCCAGCTTCACACAATCCACCCTCTGCAAAATAATAATAATAATAATAATAATAATAATAATAATAATAATAATAATAATAATAATGCTGTTTTGTTTGTTTGGTTGGTTGGTTAGTTGGTTGGGTTTTTTTTTTTTTTTTTTTTTTTTTTTGCTTCTGGAAGTTACAGCCCTTAAATGACTTTTGAGGGAGAAAGAGAAATTTCAGACAAGAGGGGGCAGAATGTTCTGGAAGAGGAAAGAGAAGCACTATTATCTGGAAGTGCTGCTTTGAATGACCACAGTTCTGAGTTCTGCCTGCCGGTGGGACAGCAATGAGGGCACAGCAAGAAGAAAGAGACAGGCTTTACCTCTCTTCAACCTCTTACCGTTCAGACATCTTTGTCATTTATCCATTGAAGGGGGGAACGCCAAATAACCTCCTGTGAGTTCATGTTGGGCCTCATTCACAGTCACACTGGGTTCTATGTGACTGTGTGCAGCTCTGGGTCACAGGCTGAACACGCCTGGGACCGCTGCAGTGTTTTTTTTCCCTTCCTTCCTTCCATCTTTCCTCTATTGTTTTGAGACGCGGTGTCACTGTGTAGCCCTGGTTGGCCTGTGTCTTATTTTGTAGGCCAGGCAGACCCTCTGCATCAGCATCCCGGGTGCTAGAATGACAGGTACAAGTCACCATGTCTGCTTAATTACCGCCTCTTCCTGCAGAGCCTCACAATCCCGGCCTCAGGATGGTTCTAAGTCCCAAGGGATGAAAATATTACAGATAAAAACCCTTCCTAACTCATCGGTAATATTTTAAAGATTTTTTAAAAATTATTTTTAATTGTGTGTATTTGTATGCCCAGGTGTGTGTTTGTGCACATGAGTGCAGGTGATGTTCCGGGAGTCAAAAGAGGGTATCAGATCCCCGGGAGCTGGAGTTATAGTTGGACATGAGCCATTTGACATAGGTTCTCCACAAGAGCAATCCATGTTCTTAACTGCTGAAACATCTCTCCAGCCCAACTGATCATATCTTTGTCCTCCAATCTGATAAACTAGGATAGAACATTTCAATGTATTGTATAAATCATTTTAAAAGACAAATTACCCACAACTGATGAGGCAAGAGTTCAGAACTAAAGTTCCGAAACTATCACGCATTTCCTGTAGGTATGAACAAGATGAACACAGAATTCCCGGTTGGCATTCAGATATACAGCAACTGTTACATTCTAAGTCTTCTTGCCAGTCTTTAACATGTAGCGAATTTTAAGCAAATAGCAATATTTTCTTAAATATTAAATTGAATATTAATTATCAAGCAAATAGTAATCAGATTCGTGATTGGGAACAAGCTACATCCTGGCGATCTATGGGGATAACTGAAGTAGCTAGCCTTGGTCTTTTTTGTTTGTATTTTTGAGACCGGGTTTCTTAGCATTGGCTGCGCTGGGACTCAAGAGATCTGACCGCCTCTGCTAAAGGTGTGTGCAACCACCGGCTGGCAATAGTGCACTTCTTTAAAAGTTCTTGTACTCTTTTACTGTTGTTTTGTTTGCGTCACGTCACTACTTCCATTCTGCGTTCCGGGAATGTGAGGGACCAAAACACTTGTCCTTCGAGCCGGATTCGAACCAGCGACCTAAGGATGTCCAACTACTGCTTTAAACCTACAGTCCTCCGCTCTACCAACTGAGCTATCGAAGGATGATGTTTGTTTTTTTCTAAAAGGTCTGAAGTAGGTCAGACTGGCTTCAAATTTCGATCCTCCTACTTACACCTAGGATTAGCGATATGAGCCACCATACCTGATTTTAAGCAGTAGTGGAATCAAACTCAGGGCTTCGTGAATGCTAGCGGGCGCTCTGCCAAATGATAAGTGTATCATTTCTAATAGAAAATAAAAAAACTAAACATTCCACAATCTTGGCAAATATATCCTATATATCAAATATGTCCTATATATTAGCTATGTTTTGAATGATGCAGGAAGATTAAATATTGTCTCTATGATGTACCGAACAATATATTTCAGATATCATTATTCGATGGGTTCATGGTGATTTTGTTTATAAAATTGTTTTTCCTTTATTTTTCCGCTGTTCTGTAAAAAATGGAAATTAAAAACCAAATAAGGAATTGCTGATCTTGTGAGTGACTTTGGCAGGGTGAATGAAGCTCAAGGTCCTTGTGAGCTGTGCAGTTGTACCATCTTGAAGGTGGGTGTCCAGTGGAACCCGGCCATCCACACAGCTCCTGAAGACATCTTATGGAAAAGATCAACGATGGGGAGCTGGAGGCATTGTGAACTCAACTCTTTAATTATTCACAGATATAATGATAAAGTACTTTAGTTTCTGGACTCCTATTGTTTGGCCTGTTTTGTTTCAATTACTCTTCCAAGTGGCTCCTTACTCAGTATAATTCAAAACTATATGATTAACATTAGTATTTTTTTTTAAAAGCAAACAAACAGACAAAAACAAGCCTCTTTCTGTTCTGAATAGGTAGCGCTTGCAAGCCTGAATCTTGCTGTGTAGCCCAAGCTGCCCTTAAACTTAGAATGACTCCTGACTACTGAATTCACGTGAGGTAAAAGAACTAACGCTACGGAGGTAAATTAACTGTCTGGTGGCCTCACGTTTCATTTCAGTTGTTCAAGCCTTGTTTCTTTTTGTCCTCATTCCCTGAATTCAGTCCAGCTCTTTACTGTATAAATTAGCATTATGTGCATGTCCGTCTCTTAGCGGAGAGTAATGAATCCGTGGGCCACCGCCAATCCGTAGTCCACACTTTGAAAAGCTTTTTTTCTCCCCTAAGTAAGTACACTCGGCCACCTGGGGGCAGGCTTCCCCAACAGCGCAGAACCTACTTCCTTCTGCTGACTCTTAACTTCGGCCCTGGGGCCACCGAGAGCTTTTTTCACCTGGTCACTGTGGCTCTGGCTCCTTTATCCTCCCTGACCATTGAGGTTGGTAGGTGCTTCACTCTCGGATCAGCCGGCCACAGAACAGCGCAGCTCTCTTGGCCCAGCTTCTTCTCTGGACTAGGCTTTCCGTTCCTAGGTCTCCAGCTCTGCCTCTCTCCTCTCTGTGTGTAGCTCACTACATAACTCCCTCCGGAGCCGGGGGCTGACAGGTGTGAAACACCGCCTCCCATCTCTCTCTCTCTCTATCTCCCTCCTCCATCATGTTAACCATTTCTACCTCCATGGCTTTATCTCTATTGTCATCTCTAAACACCAGGAACAAAATACTCTCCTCGGTACGACTTAATTTTACTGTTGTTGCAACCGTGCCTCACAGATCCCTTCCGTAGACAACTGAGGGTTGTAGGACGGAGTTTGCTACTTTGTGCACGCCCGACCAGACTTGAGAGGGGAGCGGATAGGCGCTGTTGTAACACGGACTGACACTTACCCTTCAGGGGAAATACAGAGCCCTCCGCGTTGGAAGGAGCTGGTGGAGAACAGGGCGCTTCTCTCCTAGCCTCAAGCTTCTGGCGAACTCCACCCGGAGTCTGTCGCCCCGGCAAGGTCAGCGATGGCGCTTCCCCGCAACTCCTGCCTCTTGGCTTGTCTGCTCACGGTCCTGCAACTGCCCACGCTGGATTCGGGTATGTCACTGCCCTGGCCCTGTCTTTCTCGCAAGGTTGGAAGGTCCCTGACCCAGCTTGGCTCCTGGTGGGGAGGTTTACCAGAATCCACCCGGGTGGCAGTGCACCCCGGCGGTCCCAGCACTAAGAGAGGCAGAGGCAGCTTCGGCTACGTAGAAATAGCCAGGCCAGCCGGGGCTACGTGGGGAGACCCTCGTTGTTTTTCCTTTAAACCAAAGGTATTGGAACGCTGGGCGTGGCGGTGGCGCACACCGGTAGCTCTAGCCCCTGAGAGCTGAGGGCAAGAGGATCAAGGAGCTCAAGGATGCCTGGTCTGTACCCATCACACCCACCGTCCCATCTTCTCCCGTTTATCCCGGCAGCTCCCTTCCGTGTGGCCGCCCCTCAGGAGCCAGTGCTGGCCCCAGTGGGCTCCGACGCCGAGCTGTCCTGTCAGTTCTCCCCGAACGCGAGCGCGGAGCGCGCGGAGCTGCTGTGGTTCCGACGGAGCCGGTCGCCGGCGGTGCTTCTGTACCGGGCTGGCCGGGAGCAGGAGGGCCAGCAGATGCCCGAGTACCGCGGGAGGGCGACGCTGCTGACCGACGGGCTCCGCGACGGCCGCGCCACCCTGCGGATCCGAGGCGTCAGGGTCTCGGACCAGGGGGAGTACCGGTGCCTTTCCACAGGCGGCGGCTACGCCGAGGAGGCCGCTGCGTACCTCAGAGTGTCCGGTGGGTGCTGGGGTGCGGTGGGGTGGGGTGGGGGGCCGCGTCGCCTCGTCACTCCGCGCCGGGACGCTCCCTGAAGGGAACCTCCGACAGGTGTATGGCATTGTGTGTCGGAAAGCTGTATCCAGCAAGAATATGCAAAAACGAAATATAGCTGGATAATAAGCGAAGAGCACTTTGCCTGTAGTAGGGCGGTATATACTTTTAAGGAAACCTGGGCGTCTCGGTGTTTGTGTTTGTAACGTGCATATTTTGCCTTTCTTAACTTCCTGTTGGTTCTCCTTTATTTACGTCTTTCACTTGCTGCTACTGAGAGGGGCTCCAGCTCCGCAGCTTAGGATCGCTTTAAAAAAGCGCTTTCTCCAGTGCGAGGATTTGGTAAGCAGCTCAAAAGAGCGAGCTTCCCACACCGGGAGTCGAACCCGGGCCGCCTGGGTGAAAACCAGGAATCCTAACCGCTAGACCATGTGGGAACTGCTACGTGCGATTGTCTCTTGCCTCCTCCTCCCAAGTACAGCATAACGAGTGCATGACACACCTGCCCCTTTGGTGCTGGGAAAGGAAAGAAAATCAGAACTAGGAGGTAAGTATTTAATGTACCAAAGATAGCACTCGTGTTCTTTTTAGGGAAAGGCATCTTAGAAATTGATTACATATGTGATCACACACACACACACACACACACACACACACACACACACCTCAAATGTGTATGATGATTCAACTGGCTGAACTGACAGCCTTTAATTCCATCAACTGGGAGACGGAGGCAGAAGGATTAGAAGCTCAAAATCAACCTTGGCTTCTTAGAACCTCTTGAGTTCCAGGGCAGCTAGGCAGCGTACAGCTCAGTCTCAGATAACAGAAAAACCCACCTCAATATTTGAAGACATAAAACTGTTCTTAGCTCAATGCTGGTAGGGCCTCCCTTCTCCCAGCCCTTGGGAGGCAGAAGCCGGCTGATCTCGGAATTCAAGGCCAACCTGGTCAACAGAACAGGAAAAAAAAAAAAAAAAAGCTGTTATCGTTTATGAGTGAGTGCTGACACTTTTAAGCGATAGCTATTTGCCATAGCTATTTTCATGAAATGAATTTACATTCTCATACACACTTGTTTGAAAAAGAAAATGTTGTAGAGTTGTGTTGTTTAAGGATGATTCCCTGTAGCCCAGGAGGAAGGAGAGGAAAGAAAAAGAGGAAAGGGGAAAAGAGAGAGGGAAGGAAAGAATTAGATTAAACAGATGAGAAGAGTAGCTTTAGGTCATGTTGCTATGTGGCTTTGGCTAGCCGGAAACTTGCTATGCAGACCAGGCTGACCTAGAACTCACAGAAATCCACATGTTTCTGCCCCTCCAAGGCTCAGATTAAAAGCGCAGATTAAATGCCCTCAGAAGCTTGGTACTGGTTGGCCTTGAACTCCTGATTCTTCTCCCTCCACCTCCTAAGTGCTAGGATTACGGTTGTGTGTCCCCCAGTCCCGGCCCTATGTTGATTTTTGTTCAGACATAATTGTGTGAGGAAAGGCAGGATTGAAACCATTTAAGAAAATTCCTGAGTCGGCATTGTAGGTTAAATTATCAGCTACAAACCTCAAGAGAAAACAAAGCAAAACAAACCAACAAAAACAAACAAGCCAACAATAAACCTCCAAACTCTGTTCTTAAGCATGTGGTCTTTCGGGAAGAAGAGGTGTGGCTCAGCTGGAGGAATGCTCGCTTAGCATGCACAGAGTCCTGAGTGGGATCTCCAGCACAGCATGAAAACGGTCAGCAACACCAGTGCTTGGGAAGGGGGAGGCAAGAGGGTCACAAGTTCAACTTCATCCTCAGCTGTACAATGAGGTTGAGGCCAGCCTGAGCTACATGAGACCCTGTGAAGAAGGAGAGTACTTTCCTGTTCATGCTAAAACATCCTAACCATAGTCGTGCCATCCCCCAAGTCATGATACACACTTCTAACCAAGAGCTCTTTCCTGACTCTGGAGCAACTAAGCCACCTTTCAGCCATTGTTCTTGCTGTCCTTCCTGGTTGGACAGGCACCTCCGTGTCTACCCATCATACTTTTGCTTATGTTGAAGGTTGTGGTCCCAATAAGGCACCGACTCTGGTAAGGTATAAGACATTATTTTTATTGATCAGTCTTCACACAGAAGGACTAGTGGGATCCCACCACCCCAGTCCACTCTTGCCTACTCGCTGTCTTTCTCAGACTAAGGTTATCGTGCTCCTGGTAAACTGTCTGCTGCAAGATTAAGGCCAGCCTCTCTCTCCACAGCTGTGGGCTCTGATCCTCACATCAGTATGAAAACTCAAGAGAATGGAGAGAGGGAGCTGGAGTGCACCTCCTCGGGATGGTATCCAGAACCTCAGGTGCAGTGGAGGACAGCCAGCGGAGAGAAGTTACTATCCACATCAGAGTCCAAGAAGCCTGACGAGCAAGGCCTGTTCACTGTGGAGGCTTCGATAACCATCAGAGACAGCTCCATAAGGAATGTGTCCTGCTGCATCCAGAATATCCTCATCGACCAGGAGAAGGAAGTAGAGATCTCTGTACCAGGTCAGTGGAATTAGTGCTGGGTTCCCATGGTGACAGAGAAGCTGTGTTCCTGGGGGCCTTCCTGACTGGACCCTTCTTCTCCTTCAATAAACAGGGAGACTACATTATTTTCCTGAATCCACTATGCCCTCCCCGAACCTCTCCTCCCTTCCTCACCCCATGCTGGAGCTCCATATAGGCTGCCAGGTTCCTCCAGGAAGCAAGCTATTTCATCATTCCCAACTTTTTACCTCTAGATTAGCAGGAATCATTGCTTGGTTGTTAGCCAAAGAGTCTCATTCTACATTGTGTGTGGCTACCTTTCCTCTTCCTTCTTTACCTCCACTACCTCAGTGATAGTTAACAAGAGGTTCTGTAACACTAAGCGACCCATTAAATTTTTATTTCACATAGTCTGACCCCAAATGGCTCTTCCATGCTTTCTTTTGTCCTTGGGCCAAATCTTTCTGAAAAGCTTAGCATGAATGAGCAAGTCCTGCTTTGGGAGGTGGGAGGCCCTCCAGGGCATCCCCATCTCTATCCTGCTTTGGTACCAGAAGAGAAGCTGAAATTATTCAGTTTCCCAACCAATGTTGTTCTTGTTCTTTGTTTTGTCTTTAAGCTCCCTTCATGACGAGGCTGACTCCCTGGATAGCAGCTGTGGCTATCATCATACTAGCCCTAGGATTTCTCACTGTTGGGTCCATATTTTTCACGTGGAAGCTGTACAAGGAAAGATCCAGAGAGCGGAAGAATGAATTTGGCTCTAAAGGTAAGTCACAGCACTCCCAAGAACTTCTTGGACAGCTTCTAGAGAAGGTTGGACTCAGGCCTGTTCAGGTGACTTCCAATAAGAAGATGCTGAGGTTGGAAGGAACCATAAGCCTTCTGAAACTTTACCTAACGTGAAGAAAATTGGGCAGAGTCAAAATCAGCTCTAATTGTCATTTTTATACCCGATGTTCCCTCACAACCCAGCTTTTGGCCCTTGGGACAATTCTCACTCTGTTTTCCAGGAAGACTCTTATTATTAAGATCTAGTCCTAAATCAGGAGGACCTTCCAGATGATTTCTTAGAAATATTCTGTTTTGTTTTGTTTTGTTTTTACTGGCAGCATTTCCTTTCCTGGTTTGCCAGCAGTGTTTCTGACACCAGGGCACCAAGGATTAAACAGTTGTCTCTTTATGTGTTTCTCATTCTGGTTTTCCTCCTTCCTATTTGCTATAAAAAGCCATTGATATAATTTTTGTTTGTTTTCCAGAGAGACTGCTGGAAGAACTCAGTAAGTTGCCTTCTTGTTTTTGACCCACACGATTTTCTCCCTCCTATCTGTTAACCCGCTACTGACAGTCCCTCTTTTTTTTTACATTGCAGGGTGCAAAAAGACTGCACTACATGAAGGTCAGTGGTTCTGAGGTCCTCACTGCCTCTGAAGCCCTCCACTGGGAGGCAAAGAACTGAGAGGCCTGAACACAAGAACATTCAAACACACCGTCTTTAGTGAAAGGGGGAAGGTGGCAATGAGCGGCCTCAGCGCTTTTCATGAGGCATCCACGGAAGATGGCTAGCAGAAAAGCTCCTTCGGCAACCTCCCATTCGGTAGTCAGTAAGCGATGGGGCTGGAGGAAAGAACTGCTAGTGAGTGGCCAAACAGCTCCCTACAGGGACTCCTCAGCTCCTACAATTCCTACAGCGCCATGTCTCCGGGCAGGAGGGATAAGACCAGGGATCCCTGATAAGATAGGCTGACGCCATCTCTCTTTGCCTCCAGTTGACGTGACTCTGGATCCAGACACAGCCCACCCCCACCTCTTCCTGTACGAGAACTCAAAATCGGTTCGCTTGGAAGACTCTCGTCAGATCCTGCCTGATACACCGGAGCGATTCGACTCCTGGCCCTGCGTGTTAGGGCGTGAGACCTTCACTTCAGGGAGACATTACTGGGAGGTGGAGGTGGGAGATAGAACTGACTGGGCCATCGGTGTCTGTAGGGAGAATGTGGTGAAGAAAGGGTTTGATCCCATGACTCCTGATAATGGGTTCTGGGCTGTGGAGCTGTATGGAAACGGATACTGGGCCCTCACCCCGCTCCGGACCCCTCTCCGGTTAGCAGGACCCCCTCGTCGGGTTGGAGTTTTTCTGGACTATGACTCTGGAGACGTTTCCTTCTATAATATGAGTGATGGATCTCTTATCTATACTTTCCCTAGCATCTCTTTCTCTGGTCCCCTCCGTCCGTTCTTTTGCCTGTGGTCCTGTGGTAAAAAGCCCCTAACCATCTGTCCAACTGCCAACGCCCCTGAGAAAATCACGGTCACTGCTAATGTCCAGGACAACATTCCCTTGTCCCCGCTGGGGGAAGGCTCTTCTTCAAGAGACACAGATACTCTCCATTCTAAACTGATACCTTTCTCACCTAGCCAAGCGGCACCTTAAAGAATATTACAGCCCCACAACTTCCCCTTCCTTTGGCTCCTTCCTTACTCAGGAATCTTCAGTTGCCAGCTTCCTGCAGTCCTTCTTCGTAGTACGTGATTACTTCTTTTTGGAAAGGCCGTATGTTGCTGCCAGAGAAGGCAGGAAGAAGAGCCTTTGTAATTTGTTTCTAGCTAATACTGGGGAGGTAGAGAGGTGATTCCTAAATTATTTCTAGTGCCACAACCTACATAGGAGGACTTGGTACAATCGCCTGAGGGATCAAGAGGCAATTCGGCTGGCATGCAATCGTGGCAGAAACATACGGAATAGGGGTATGTGGGCCAACAGTTTTTAGGCAAGGGAAAAACAAATACACAGGATGCTAGGAAAAGAGGCTCTTAGGCTACAACCGCATCAAGGAATTTAGAGGAGACATCGCAGGCAAATGAAGTAAACTTGATCCACCTGTCCTCTCCCTAGGGTTTTTCAAGACTAGATCTCAAATTTTATTACTTACGTTTTTTTCTTTGACAGCTTCATACTGAGTTTAACGGGCTGTCATGGGAGTATAAATTTGGAGCTGTCCACTGAGGTTTGGTGGACTCAAGAGAGCATGTGTAATGATCTCCCTTCTCCCACAATCAATCAGTAGCCAATAGTTCCGCTGAGAGGGATAGGGCCACATGAACCCCTCCCCTGTCACGGTTAATTGCTGACCAGTTTTGTACAGGCCCAGCTCAGGTAACTACAGCACCTGTGAGAACATGAACACGAGTGCCCAGAAGGAAGCATTTCTCAGCCATTCTCCCTGTCCTCTGGCTCTTAAGGTCCTTAGCCTTCTCTTTCGGGATGTGTCTTGGACACTGTATCTTAAATTTTCTAACTCATATTCTGTAGGGTGGAGGACACTGCTCTGCTTGTTTGGGAGCACTGGGAGCAAGCTGGGCAGGGACAGAGAGGGGTGGAGATGAGCAGGGCTGGAGAACCAGACAGGGTTAAAACAGAGGAGAAAAAAAAAAAATCTAAAAACTACCGGGCTAGATACACATGGGTCAGGCCTTTCTGTGCCTTCCTCTTTTTTTGACCTCTCCTGAAGGTCAACCCAACTTCACTTTATTGACTCCACTAGATAGGGTGTGTGTGTGTGTGCTTGTGTGCTTGTGTTTTAAGATAGAGGTTTACTATGCAGCTGAGACTGGCCTTGAACTCCTGATACCCCTGCCTCCACCTTCCACTTGCTGGTTACACAGCCACAGCCGCCATACCTAGCAAGTCCACCCGTTCTGATGCAGCACGCTTAGGTAGCGTCATTGTTCTGGCAGTCCCAGCTGCACGCTCTCCTGGCCCTCGCTGCAATGTTTAACCACCTCACCTTCAGTTCCCTTTCGACGCTATTCTTTTCCTCTGTGCCATTGCCCAGTGCAGCCTACCCACCTGCTCTGCATTCCGTTTTGCCTTGGGGATCACCGGTGTTGCACCATGATACTCAATACAGCTGGGCAGCTCGGCTCTATCTGTGTGTGCTCCAGTGTCCTCCTGGTTGCATGGGACTTGTTTTGTCAACGGCCTGTGTGTGTATCCAAGCTCTTCCACTTCTATTGTATTTTTCTGGCTCCCAGAATGAACATCCTCATGGACTTTACCAAATAAATAAATAAATAAGTCTGATTGCTGAAGGGAGCCTCTGAACTTTCCTTTATTTATCCCTATAAAAGAGCCTGGATTAAAGTGAAACAGGAATGAAAGCTGCCTGGGCGTGTGGTGCCTGCTACAGCAGTGCTGGTTAGAACAGCCCCAGGCCTAGGCTTTGGGAGAGATTTACCAGAACAAGCATGAGGATCAGTCTGCTCATGAGGACCAAACCACCTTCAAAAAGGTGCTGAAGGCTTCCTTGTTTCAAGGCTAACTTCATCTCTATTCCTACGAAGGTAACTTTGTCGGTGAGCTATCACCAACATCACTTTGGTAGATGTGCCAAGAGGGTACAGCTCCACAGTTGACTTCTTGCCTGCCAAGTGTACCAGTCCTGTGTTCCATCCCTAGCACTCCCCCAGACCACACACATCTCCGACAATTTAGTCTCAGGCACATGACAATTGGAGAGCACATTCAAACCACTGCAGGCCCTTTCCTCCATCACCCCAGCACCCAGTGTCCTCTTTCTTCATTTTTTCCCCTCAAACACTAGCCACCCTACACAGCTTGTCTTATACTGTACTCCCGGGAGACAAGTATAATTAATTTTTGCTTTAAAATAATTAATTTCAGTTGAGTGTGGTGACACATGCCTGTATTCCCCAGGACCCGGAAGACAGAGAAAGAGAATTGTCACATGTTTGAAGCCAGCCTGGACTGTATGTCAGTTCAAGGTCAGCCTAGGCTATCTAGCAACACCCTATCTCAGTAAATAAATACATGAATAAATGTGTTCACTTGTGTCCAAATATTTTACCTGTAGAAATTCACAGAAAACATCCAAACATCCTTTTTAAAAATGCACTGGAGAGCCAGGTTTTAGTGCAAACCTCTAATCCTAGCACTTTGGAGGTAGAGGCAGGCAGATCTCTGAGTCTGAGGCCAGCCTGGTTTACAAGGTGTTTTCCGGGGCAGCCAGGGATGTTACAGAGAGAAACTATATGTCTCGAAAAACACAAAACAAAAAAATGCTCTGGAGGGCTGTTGAGATGACTTACCAGATGGACACTTGCTTCCCTTTTGCCTGTTGTCTTCAAGGAAAATGGTCCCTGGGTGTACTAAACGGGCATTATACTTAGAGAACACCATGTGCCGAGTCCCAGTGTTCAGCCTCTGTATGTCACACAACGACTCAGTGATGAAGAGGTTTACCCTCAACAAAGTTAGCTTATTTTCACAGTAAGGGCAGCCTTTAAAAAGAACCAAAGACAGGTATGGCACACATCTGTAATCCCAGCACTTGGGAGGTGGAGGCTGGAGGATCAAGGGTTGGACATTATTCTCACCCACTGGCGTAGTTTAAATCCAGCCTGAGCTATATGAGACCTTGCTTCAAAACAAAACTGAAGCGTAATTTGGACCAGAGTCCTGTTCCATAGTCTTGAACACTGTCGTGAATGTGGCTACACCCTCATCCTTAAATGAAAGATACAGGCTTTCACTAAAGCTTAACCCTGAAACCTTGCTCTCAAATCTGAATGTATATGGAGTTCCTGCTGGTAATGAGGACCCTTAAAAACCCAGTCATTAGTTCCAGGACAGCCAGGGTGACATGAAAAGATCCTATCAATAAAAATAATAATTTAAAAATTCTCATCAGATGAGACTCCCAGACATTCTGGTATAATTGTCCAAGAAAGAATTATTGTCCTAGAGGGTTCTCAAAGGCATTACCTATGAGCTTTCCCTCGTTTTTGCTAATGTTGGGAGCCTTTCTCTAAGAATTACAGAAACACTAGATTTAAGCCAATGGTTCTCAGGCCACAGTGCCTTAAAATTGTGTAGAGGACCTGTTAGACACATACTGTGAAGCATTATCCTTTAAACTTGTTTAAATTTGACAAGTCAGGATAATATATATTTATGGTGTACAAAATGTTCTGATGTATATTGTGGAAAAGGTAAATGAAGCTACAAACCATATCTGTTAACTCACACACTTTTGTTTTATGGTACAAACCTTTAAAATCTCTCAGCAACTGTCAAGCATGTGACACATTATTAACCATACTCTTGTTTAAACAGCAAAACTTCAGATTCAGCCTCTACCTGGATATCTAAAGTTGGACATTTTACTCTGTGTGAGAGATTCAGCAGCAGTGTTCCATCAATTAAATTTACACACTAGAAGCTATCCAAAAACAAGAAAAAAAGAAAAAATACAAAAAAAAAAAAAGCAGTTTCTAGACTACACAGTAATTTAAGCCTATGAGCCCAGCACTCCAGTGAAAGGATATATTATAATTTGGGATGCTTTTTCATTCACCCACTCTAGCTCCCAAATAAATGACAGAGACTTATTAGATTTATTAATAAGCTTCAGATAAATAACTGGGCAAATACAATCTATTCCAACTCACCTAACCTATTCTGGCTCTGTCCCAGTCATGTGCCCCCAGTTAACTTGCCATATTAGTCCTGCCTGGGCTGTTTCCACTTTATCAGGTCAGTTCATCACCATGTCCTTTCCCTACCTCCTGGTCTCTACCTGAGACTCAGAGACTGGGAATGCAAGTTCTACCTTTCTTCTGCCCAGTAATTGGCTTTCAGCAACTTTATTAACCAATCAGAGATAACTGCAGAGCAAAGTTTATACAGCATTGATCAATATAAATGACAATGAACACATCTGGAATGCAACCAGACCTCAGGGCACAGAAATCAGCCTCTGAACACAGAGCAACAGACCAATCCCCAACATTCCCCCCCCTTGTTGTCTAAATAATAAGGCACTTCTTTTTACACTAATAAACTACACACAATAAGAACAATTATGAAAACTATCATGTAAGAATTATACTCACAATGTCCAATCCATTCATCAATAACTATACTAAGAGATTCTGGAAAATCTAGTAATACCAGAAGAATGGCATACAGCTCTGATTTTTGAACTGAATTATAAGGACTCTGAACTACTTTGCTTGTTTTTTCTGACTTATAACCTGCCTTTCCGGATGTATTTGTATCAGTATAGAATGTAAGGGTCCCAGAAATTGGAGTCCCTTTTACTATATGACAGAGAATCCAATTAGTTCTTTTTATAAACTGAAGTTGCTTGCTTTGGGGGGTATTTGTTGTTAATTTCTCCAAAAAAAATTACTGCAAGCCCTTTGCCAATGTTCATTTTCTGTCCCTAATAAGGCAATCTCAGAATTAGTAAAAGGTGTCACAATTTCTGTGGGCTCTATTCCTGTTAATTAACAAAGTCTCGTTTTACCTTTCAGAACAAGTCAGAAGCCTTTTCTATGTAGGTTTTTAACTTTTTATTTTGTGTGCTAAAAATATCTGTCCTAGGATATAATCTTTTCTCAGCATAAGTTTCTGTGGGTGAATGAGCAGATGACAAGATATGTAAAATACAAGCCATCTTTGGATCTAAATGATCTATGTGCTTTCTCTAATTTCTTTTCTACCAGAGACAATTCTTTCAGTGTCAGCTGATAATTTTCTTGGACTATTTAAGCCCTCATTACTTTGAAAGGTTTGAAATAAATTTCTTAGCTCTTGAATAGTTAATCCAATTGTGGGCCTTAGCCAATTAATATCTCCTAACAATTTCTGAAAATCATTAAGAGTTTCATTGGTCTTTCCTGATTTGTACATTTTGTGGTTGAATTTCTTGCAGACTTACACCCTAGATAATTAATAGTGTCTCCTCTTTGTATTTTTTCAGGAACAATTTGTAATCCCCAGAAAGACAATTTTTGTTTACTTCCTCAAACATATTTTTTTTTAAGGTGAAAGGATTTTTACTGTGAATGAGAGAGAGAATCTAGAGGAACCTGGAAGAGTCCAAAGCAGAGAGAGAGAGAGAAAAAAAAAAAAGCCAAACATATTTTCTAAGGTATCTTTATTTAAATCAGCCAGCAGAATATCATCTATATAGTGGTAAATTGTGGACTGAGGAAATTGTTTACAAGTTATCTCTAATGGCCATTGTACAAAATATTGATACAAGGTAGGACTATCAACATTTCTTGGGACATGACCCTCCACTGGTATCTCTTAGTTGGTTTTTCATGGTTAAATGTGGGTACAGTAAAAGCACACCTTTATTTTGTTTCTTAAGGGGTAACACAGCTGGTGTTTTATCAGCAATGGTTCACCAATATAAAGAAGAAGATTCAGCCTTTGCTGAACCTTGCTTATGGACAGCCTGGACAGTCTGTTAACTGTCTTTGATAGCATTTTTACACTATGTTTTACTTGGGATAAAGTTCCAACTTCTTGAAATTGGATATCTACCTCCTGAAGGGGCCAATCTGGAGGCCAAGATTTTAGTGAGATTATAGTTAATTTGCTCTAGTATTTATGATTCCTTCAATTTATTTATTTAATTTATTCCTTCAAATTATTTATAAATACCTTTAGTTTGGGCCTCTGACCATCTATAGGAATTTGCCAAAATACTCATTTCTTAGCCCCTTCTGGTTTTTTGGTTTTTGTTTTATCTATGGAAGTTGCTTTGACTTTGATATCTGGCTTTTTAATGTCTATCTCCAGAGCGGTGGTGTTTAATTGTTTTGTGGATTCGTATCTCCACTGTTGCCCTGAAAATAGCTGGTTTGAATTTGGTATTGCGGCTTCAAGAGGCCATCTGGGCATTTTTTGATAAGGGGTCAACCCATTTGTCTGCTGTTGATCTACTTTCATTAGTCCAAGGTCAGCCTTTGCCACACCTTTTGCATATTCCAGAAGGCATAGGCTCTTTTTTGGAATTAGTTTGGTTCTTTTTGAAATTCTTTTTGAGGTGGCCTTTGCTCACCACAATGAAGACAATGGAGATTCTGAATTTTCTCAAAATCTTTAGAGATCATTTCTCCTATTAAGATCATAGCACGTGAATGGGATCTCATATCAACAGTACTTCTAAACCATTCGTCTTTCGGTGCTGATCTTGACTTTAAGGGCCGGATCACCTCTTTGCATTCAGCACTAGCATTTTCAAAAGCCGAAGATTCGATTAGTGCCTTCCTAG